TGAGTGGAAAAGCGTCACAAGTGCTATAAGTGCTCACAGCTCCGTGGGAATTATTATGTGCAATTCATTTCAAAAAGGCTTTCACATTACTATAATTATATTTTTATTTAAATGTAGGCTACATTTTACACCAAAACGGAACAGAAAAGCAGGGCCAACCATCATACATTGAATTCCTTGACTAACAAGAGAAAGATTCATTCATTTAAATATTTATCAGCCAAACGACTCGTTGCGCCCTCGCTGCGAGGGGGACCCAAGTTCCCATCGGCGAAAACACGTGGGTTTGCTGTCCTGGCTCCAAGATGGTGGAATGAGCTCCCCATTGACATCAGGACGGCAGATAGCTTGCACATCTTCCGTCGCAAACTGAAAACTCATCTCTTTCGACTCCACTTCGAGCGTTAGAACTATTAACGAAGCACTTTTATACTAATAAAGGACTGGCTTACCTAAAGCCAGTTGAGTAGCACTTGAAATGTTTGGCTCTATGAAACCTGATGTACTTATATGATTCTGTTTTCTTCAAGGTTGTGTCTTCCTGGTCGAATGTACTTATTGTAAGTCGCTTTGGATAAAAGCGTCAGCTAAATGCAATGTAATGTAATGTAATGTAATTTAACAACAAATGGGCCGGTTCTAAGGGGTTATTCAGTTAAGCCCGATGAGAGGGGATACAGCTGTGCACATGTCATCATTAACAGACGTCATTTAAGAGTGACGTTTGAGTGAACGAGGCCATCCCAATTAATACCTGAGGACTCCTCTGTCCTCGCGTCACCTCCTCGTGTCTCTCGCTCGCATCTTACGGAGGCGGAGCTAAGACGCAAGGAAGGGAAGCGAGTGAGGGAAAGGAGGAGTCGAGGAGGGGTATTGGGATGAGGCTAGAGACTCTCGGCCTCCGTAGTGCGAAGCAAAGATCAAAGATCGTCTCTGCAGAGTGCTGACAGGATGAGAGGATATTATATGAATGAATCGGTTTTGTACCGATGCAAAGACGCTACAATCGATGCATCGCGAGTTCAACCCAAACTGTAGCCGATGTGCACTCTTTCAACCGGTGCACTCGCATCTTCAACGTTTATGCCGGTGCACCGACGCAAATCGGTGAATCTTAACATCCCTAGAGTACACAGGTGAGGGGAGTCGGCTTAATGAGGTGGGCGTGGCCTGTAGAGGTAGAGTGAATGGAGAAATAAAGAGACGGCAGGTAGGGGAACATAAGAGGCTTCTCAATACTTCAATTTCCCCTCCTCGACTCCTCTCCTCGGTTCCCCTCCTCGAGACTTAGACCCGCCCACAGGAGATGCGAGCGGAGGACCGAGGAGGGGAAGCAGCAGACGTTTAAAGAAATGAGAACTCCTCTCCTCTGAGCGGTCATTTTAAAGAGACGTCCAATCATTATTACGTGGCAACAGCTGCATCAGCTGTCGAGTGTTTTGTCATAGCGCTGTATTTTATAATCTCTGTTAGATCAGCTGAACATTGTTCCCCCACATATTTACTTTGAATTCATTGAGAGTGCGGTATAATGAGACAATAACAGGCTACATATGCGGACACACACACACAAATATATTTATATAAATATATACAATTTAAAGTATGAGAGCACTCTCATAATAACGTAACACAATCAGAGACTGGATATATCCCCCCCTCTCTCTGGTCGCTGAAATGGGGAATTGAAATTACGGGCCAAAAGTTGTATTTACAAGTAGGCCTATTAAAAGTAAGCAGAGGACACCAAACCAACTGAGACCCGTCTGTCCGCCGCATTTACGCACTGTACAACACACACCTACACACTGTACCACACACACCTACAGCTCCTAAAGCATAAGCCGTTGTGTATTTTATTATGTGAAGCAATGGTCTTAGAAAAATATCGACTCTTTGTTTGTAGATATCTACTAAACTAAAGCAAATAAAGAGAGTAGGCCTGTTATACTGAGTGATATATATTATACACACTGCTCTGCTTTCTGCATGGACCTCACAGCTGTTCTCTCTGGAAACATCGCGACGCGATGAAAGCAGTTTCTAAAATAATATCCAGGGGATGCATGCAGAGCTGTCATTGGCTGAGATAAGTCCGGCCGTGCGTCACGCCTCCACCGTTCCCGGAAATGCATCCGCGGAGGAGCTGTGGAGGAACCATCAGTGTATCCTCGGTTATAGCTCCTCCAGAGAGCCTCCTCGACGCTCGATCCTCGGTGTGCATTTAGAGAAATGAGATGTCCTTCAAAATGGCGCGCTGAAATTCATTTCCGGGTCACTACCGGAGGACCGAGGAGTCGAGGAGGGGAAATTTGAGTATTGAGAAGCCTCTATGGAGATTGAAGTCAGAGCTGAAAGAAGTTCTCAGATAATTAAAAGTAGAAATGATTTGGTCCTCAAATACTTTATTACAAGTAAAAGTCGTGAATTGAATATGTTAGTGTACAAAATGTACTATATTTAAGCAATCATACACGAGAGGCCGTTCTTTAACGTCATTATTGGTACCATAGTACTGCGGCAGGACCGAGGCGCTTGCGCCGAGGTCCGTACACGCCTGTACTGGAGTACCAATAATGACGTTAAAGAACGGCCTCAAGTGTATGATTGCGATTCTATAACACAAACTATCATTGTAATCAACAATATCGTAACATAATTTCATAATGTGGGCTAATTTGCTCCCAAACCTTCACTTTCTGCTTGAGTTAATCTCCGTCAGAAAGTAGTTCCTATAAAGTAGTTCCCTTGGTAACGAGAGCCGATCAATCGAACACTCCTGCTTCCCCGCTTACAGTTATTGATATAATTATAGTAAATAATATATTATTAACCAATTTATTGAAAACAATTTATTGACAACAATTCTTGAATTAGGCTATTTATTTATTTATTTACATATTTAACATTTTGGCTTCAGAATGAAGGTGGATGTTCATGCTGCCATTAAATGTGCAATTTTTGAAACAACTCATGAACTCCATGCCAGACTTTTTTGCAGTTGGTGCTGTGGTGTTCACGGAAGAGCTTTCCTCCAGTGGCCGTTTGGCGTGTCCCGGACCGGCAAAAAGCGCGTTGCTCCACATTTTTCTGTTGTCCAGATGATAACTATAAAATCTGACATTTTGTAGCTAACGATTTTCCAACGAGAGACAATGTAACAATGTAACGGCTGTGTGTCGCTATGGAAACCACTACTTCTCCGCTGCTTTCTTGTTCCAGTTTGCAGTTAGCTTTTGAATAGCTTGGTTTCAGTCACGTGACTTCTATGACGCGCGAAATTCAAGTGGAGGTCAGGAAGTGAAAACGCAATCATTCATCAACGCAGGAATCATGGAGGACACCGACTATGTCAAACAATTAAATTAACCTGCACGCCGCAGATATCGTGAAAAAATCACAGCACACATCGGATACGATCCGTATCAGCTGAAAAAAAACGACTTTTCTTGTGATTTATCCGATTTGCCCGCTGTCCAGGCGATGGATATCACCAGCTACCTCGTCCTTCATACCTCCTACTACACGGCTAGCCAGATGAAAGCGTATAAAAGCCTGGAAGCTTTCAACTACTTCGTGTGTGGATGGGTGAATGACCTCGGCACCAAAGAGGCATTAAACAAATGTCGCCTTGTTTTTGCCCGGGTGAGTGTTAACTACCTATACCTTCTTACCTCTAAGTAGCATTATTAGGAGACATCTAGCTAGCTAACTTTAGCTACATGGACTCATGTAAGGCAGTGTTACGGCTGTCGCCTTGCCTTCAGCATTAACTGGCCTGTGAGTGTGTTGTGTGTGTGTATATATATGTGTATGTTTGTTATGTGTTTAGCTTAGGATATATTGTGTTTTGTGTGTATAGACAGCTCAGAGCCTTTGAACAGCCTGCACGTTGTTTATATCACTCTATGTTGAGGTTAATATTAAAAACAACCTCTTTACCAAGACCATCTGGTTATGTGTTGCTTGTGATGTTGTTAAATGTATGTTACCAACTCGCAAGTTGTGAACTGGAGCTTCAATTGTGTAGGTCAACCATTCCCAGAGGTCTGGAGAAACACCATTTAAAAACGTGGATTGTAGCTAAAGAAGATGGAGAGGTTGTTACAGCACACTGTAACTGTATGGCTGGGTAAGTCATAAAATAAATATCCCAACCCAAAGCATATTTGACACAACACTTAAGCTCAGACAAAATAATGCCTGCTATAATATTCATGTTATACCATTACTAGCTTTTACGATCAATCTAGTTATTCTAGTATGTCTCTGTCTATACAGTTTGTCAGAATCCTGCTCACATGTTGGAGCAGTTCTGTTTGCAATCGAAGCAGGTGTGAAGATGAGAGAGACTGCATCCTGCACCACTGAGAAGTGCAAGTGGCTAATGCCATCACATGTCAAAAAGGTATTCAGACCCCAGTGGTCAGTCAGCTGTTCATGCCGTCCTTGCCTGTCTCATAGTTACACTGCACCTACATGTATGTTCACATACATGTTGGTCTGTCTCTCACATGTGCAGATTCCTGCTGCTCCAGTTGCGATGATAGACTTTTCATCCGCAAAATCCAAAAAGCAAAAACTGGATGATGCCATTGCTGGAAGGACAGGTGAGAAGCACACATTTCAGCGTCCCACAGTCCAGGGTTCAAAATTGGAGCGAGGATCAGAGAGGTATATGCAGTTTTTCAAGACTTTGAGCAGAAATTCCCCAAGAAGTGCTGCACTGATGTCCAGGGAACCATATTACAGAGAATGTGTCCCTAAATCTGTGAGCAAGCTACCTAAACCACTACCTCAGTATAGGACACCAGAGATGCTACAGCTATCCCCAACAGAGTTGCAGAATGCATGCCAGGACTTCAGACAGGAAGAGCTGACACAGCCACAGGTCCAGGCAGTAGAGGAGGAGACCAGAAACCAGAGCTTATCAGCAATATGGTTTAGCCAAAGAGCAGGAAGGATCACAGCCTCAAGACTGAAGCAGGTTCTATAGACTAGTCTTGCACAGCCATCAAAGTCCTTGATCAAGTCCATATGCTACCCAGAGGCATACAAGTTCTCTACAGCTGCAACAAGGTATTTATTAGGGATTAGGGAGCCAATCAGAAAAGCAAACTGTATACAGTTTTTCTCAGACACGGAGGGATACCGACTTGTTGTGAAAAGTAACTTACAATTCTACCCGTGGTATACGCTGATTATGTCAGTAAGTTACAGTACAAGTAACTTATAACTAAATTCATTATCATTACAAAACATGATTCACAAAATATTCAATGCATAAAAATACTGTGTGTGTGTGTGTGTGTGTGTGTGTGTGTGTGTGTGTGTGTGTGTGTGTGTGTGTGTGTGTGTGTGTGTGTGTGTGTGTGTGTGTGTGTGTGTGTGTGTGTGTGTGTGTGTGTGTGTGTGTCAGGTATGGATGCAAATACGAGGCAACTGCCCGAAAGCAGTATGAAGGAGTACAAAGTCTGCACCACCAGGGTTTCAGCTGTAAAGACAGCGGGCTTTGGCTGAACCCTCAATGGCCATACATGGGAGCGTCGCCAGACGGAGGTGTCACGTGCACCTGCCATGGAACTGGTATCTGTGAGATAAAGGTAAGTTATTTGTTCAGTATTGTGCTACAGTAAAGCGGGTAAGTATAGGATTGTGACGTGATCCTGAGTCTGGGGATCCTCTCCCAATACATTTTGAGCTGCAGACACTTATTTACAGTACAATATATTACTTTTCTTTTCATTGAACTTTTAGTGCCCACACAGCAAACAAGAGGAGGCCAATCTTCGCCTGTGTGCTGGAGAACAGGGCTTCTGTCTCGTCAACGATGGGGGCACTCTGAAGCTGGACAGGAGACATGCCTACTACCATCAAATACAGGCTCAGCTCCACCTCGTTGATGTTGACTACTGCGACTTTGTTGTCTGGACTAAAAATGACCTCTTTGTAGAGAGAATTGTGCGTGATGTGGACCTGTGGGACAACATCATTCCCAGAGTTGAGCGTTTCTTCAGACTATGTGTTCTCCCTGAAGTGTTGGGACAGCAACTTACAAGGGGAAAGGTAAAAGTCATAAAGAGTTGGTGTGCTCATTTTTTTCCACAAGAACATGTTAGTGCATAACTATCAGGTGACTAAAAGCCTCCTCTCCCTGTCTGCTGTTCCATTTTTCAGTTTCAGTTGCAAGATGATCAGGAGGGAGAGAAGGCGTGATTACCAGCACCTGTGGTCTGTCCTGGTCCCGGAAGTTGTGGTTCTCTCCTTGTTGCATTATTATTACGTGCCGTAGTGGGTGCTGGTGTTTGGGTGTGTGTGGGTGTCTTTTTCTCTCTCCCTCTGATCTCCCCAGGTGCTCCCAATCTCCAATCAGCGCCTCCATATAGGACATGAGGAAGGTTGCAGTCGCTCTCCCCTTATCTTAAGCTTTGTTTGACAAGTTGGCTGGTGAGCCCTTTTTCGTTGTGTTAATTAAAAGACCACTTTATGGCGTCAGAGATCAGTTTCCTCTCCTTTTTCTCTCGGCCGGTTATGTTGTGTGTCGCTACTTCCCTTTGTACCCCTATATTTACAAGGGAACATAACATTTGCACAGTGGCAGCTCTTTAACCTGCATTACAGCACCTTCATATTCACTGACCACACTCACTAGAGGAAGTAGGGCTGTGTGATATATTGCTATTGTAAACAAGATGTTTACTGCAAAGATTAAATGATACTAAGACTGAATAATACATGGTTTCTTATTGACATTTACAATAACCCTCAATGGCCATACATGGGAGCGTCACCAGACCAATTGTCATCTCTAGAATATTGTTGAATGAATTAAGCCTGAATGTAGATGAAAGTTGTATATTGAGTAGGGCTACACAATTTTCAACACAAAAAGATGTTTACTGAAAAGATTAAATGATACTGAATAATACATGGTTTCTTATTTACAAGACTACAGCTCCATGACTTTACTCCAATGGGACGACAGACACTGACAGATTAGACAAGGCACAGCGAATAACCCCAATCTTGTCAATTAATGCTAGTGCCTCACCTGGTTTTGTTAGCATGTGCTCTATGGGCACAGCCCTGCTTTGCAGAATCTGATATTTTCTTCTGACTAATCCTATGACTCTTTCAACATGAATACGCACATTAGCTATTTTTCTTGTCTCTTCCACCTCGTATGCTGACAGCTGACTTTTCCCCCTGGTGAATGCAGGCATCTTTAGTGAAGCACAGTAAAATCCCACACTATCGGCAATATCGAACCCACGGTCTGCTAGGACAATATCTCCAGGTAACAGGTTTTTTAGGAGCCCACTCTGTATTGTGATCTGTTTATCACTAACTCTTCCTCCCCAGGCACAAGATATCTAGGTAACATAGCCTTGGGGAGCAACACCAATCAGAAATTTAACAGTATGGTGATGCTTGTAGTTGGACCATGTTTGTGCTCTAGCTAGTAAATTAGAGGGCCTCTCAATAAAAACTTCAAAACAGTCAACAATCACAGCAACTCTACATCCAAATGCCTGTCTGAATCCCATTGGCATTGTAGCTTGAAGTACATGTCGCTCTGGCCACTCAATTATAAATTCTGTACTCTCGTGAAGTATGTCAATTAACTTATGCCAAATTCTAGAAGCAGTGGAGAGAGAGAGATGTTGAACCTGAAAGCCAAATCTTTCAGAGGGAGATTTAGTCTCAGCCTCAGCAAAACTAAAATGAACTGTTCAAATTTGGAGAGCACAGACATAGGGCCACAGGTGATGTAGGGCTCGCACAGTTGAAAAACCTGAAGTAAAACTAAGAAGTTGGGGAGCCCGGTGTAAAACTTTGTTTTCTCTTCGTTGTTCTCAAAGGACTCCTGGTTGAACTTTGTGTCCAGTGCCTTTGTCCGAAGATCTCCCAGCTCTGTTGTGTTCTGTCTCAGAACATCCTCCATCCTCTCGATGTCCTCCATCGTTAAATCAGTCTGGCATCCTGCATACAATATAGCAGTAGCAAGCATAATTAGTTATTTAAAATAGTCAAATATGAATGTGAATTTTTGTGAAGTTATCTTTTTGACAACCTTTTTACAGACATGCAAGTTCTCTGTTCCAATTATTGCAGATTCTCAAATTAGTGCTCTATTTTCTAAACCTAATTCAAAGTTTGCATTGATTTTCTGACAATCACATTTGTAATATTTAATAATAATGCTGGTGGTTAATTTACCTTGTTGGTCATTTAATATCCCACTGGTGTCCTCTGGTTGTGGGCTGTCAGACGGGGGCTGCGTCGGTTCTGGGCTCTCGGTTGTCTGCAGGAGATCCAACAAAGCCTCTGCACATTCTGATTGTCTTTGTTGGTCTTCCTTGAGCTCCATCCTCTGCTCTCGTCGAAGAGATGCCTCTGATCTGGGCTTACTTGTTGTGTGGTAACCGAGGCTAACAGTGGGAGCCCAGTCTACCGGCTCAACGTCACCCAAAGCACTAGGGCACCCTAAAAAGTCCCAACAAAGTCCATATTAGACTACAGGTAACTTAAACATGATCAGTATTACTAAGTAAATACGCATTTAACCACAACCCACTAATACCTAAACAAAGCCACAAAAACCAAGTTAGCTAATACCTCTGATGAAGTGGTCGCTGCAGACCCGTGCATTAGACGACTCTGCTCCTCCCGACCGCAGATGTAGATTTGAAAGCCATTTTTTCCGGCGTTCTTCGGTTAGCTTCTTAAATTGCTCAGCTTTATGGACGACAACCTTCGGCACTCGGTAAAACCTCTTGTTTTTCTCTCGGCCGGATCGATTGGAACAACCGTAAACTACACAACACACCGGCATTTTCACAATGGTAACAGCAGCTAGATCCTCTGTAGAAAATTACTTCCTGACCTCCAATGGAATTTCGCGCCAAAGGAACGCAACGGTGTGACGTCACGTGAAACCAAGCTATTGTGGTACTTTTCCAGTTGGTCTACCTGCTCTTCACGTAGCTCTGCATGTTGTCGTTTAGGTGCTTTTTTTTCTAGGCACTCCTCAATCCAGTCCTCCACAGTAAGACCCCCCCGGAGGTTGAAGTTAATCTTAAATGTTTCCATATTATGTTTGGAAGTTTGTTTCGTAACGTAAAAAGGAGGGTTTCTGGCCCGTTACTTCTCCGCTGCTTTCTTGTTCCAGTTCGAAAAGCAAACTGCAAGCAGTTTGCACGTTCTATTTGACCGTTCTTTGATCGTGGAATCAAACACGCCTATTGACCAATCAGAGAGCTTGCTCACACCTATGTGTTAAAGAATTAAAGTTAAAGGACTCAGCTCTTTTCTCAGCTAATTATTAGTTTTTTAATCAGTTAGAAATACATGTTAGTCCATTTTAATGTTGTCGTTTGTCAATGTGAAGCTGTTTAAGTAATGGAGTACTGCATTGTCTCATTTAAAAAAATGCAAGTGTTTTAATGTGAAAATAGTAGATTATACTGTATCTTTGATCGCTAAATACATGTAGTGGAATAAAAATTACGCATTTACTGTTGTGCACCGACAGAAATGCTAGAGAGGTTCATGTTGTTTATGTTTGCTTTCTCTCATTCCAGGCTTCTTGATTGTTTGCACCTGTCATCCATCCTGTGTCTCCTGTGCTCATCAGTGTCAGCCCCGCCACTGATTGGTCCCACCTGTGTCTTGTCACCCTGTGCTTAAATTCCCCTGTCTCCCAGTGTTCTTTGTCAGTTCGTATTGTCTTATACTATGGTCAGGTCGATGTTTCTTGTGCTCGTGAAAAGTTTCATTCCTCACTATGTGAGCGATTTCATTTTTTTGTTCGCTATTGTTGTCATCTCGGCTAGAGATTGATAGTTACCCTTTTTGTTGTTCACTGCTGTATTGGAAAATAAAGTATCTTACAAATACTTTACCTCTGTCTCCCAGGTCGTGCAATTGGGTCCTACATCCTAAGTGTCTGAGTTCGTAACATTTACCTTTGAAATGTAGTGGAGTAATAAAAAATAATACTGAGGTAGAGTTTGAGTATCACAAAATAGTAGCGTATAGCACTTGAGTAAATGTACTCACATACTTTTAGACTATTTTAGAAGAGATTTAGGTATTAAGAAGTTATGAAAGTACATTTTAATTTTGTTATTGTACGCATAGGGACAAGCAGCTGAATAAGCTTGTGAATGTCTGGCATCAAAGTCAGGCATCAGCCACACATGACTTATTTCAGAGTACACACATCATCAGACATCTCTGACATTATCTCTGCTGTTGTTTTCCATCACACACACACACACACACACACCCACACACACACACACACACACACAGTAGACAGTGTCTCGCTGTGAGGGCCATTGCTGCCGTATTCCTTTGTTTGCTACACATGACACACTCCCTCTCCCACTGTGGGGTAATATAGCTATTTTCTCAGTCAATTTGCCACTCTCAGCATCCAAGCACATGCAAATATGGAAGATGATACCGATTTGGAAAGAGTGCTCGGCTGTGAAATGTGAACCAACTGTTTAAAGTCCAGGTTGGATTTACATGAAACTGTGAAACATGATTGTTTACCATTTATTTATGTATTACCTTCACCATTTGCAAGAAAATAATGTAATAAATAACTTAAAGTGAAAAATGTTCTGTTTTAAGTGATAGCCTCACACAACAACACTTTAAAAAAGCAATATTTCAATAAACACGACTTAAAAATCTTCACATTTCACGAGATTTGAATTTTACAAAACCCATTGACAAAAAACAACATTTGACAATAAACATAAAAATTCAGAAAACAAAACATTTCACAAAACACATTTAAAAAAACAAGACAAACCACCAGAACTTGCGGCATGGGATACAAACCCAGACATCACACAACGTGGCTTTACGGAGCAAACACGCGAATAGTCTTACCTTTGTTGTTGTTCTGATCAAAAGTGTTCTATGGCATCAAAACGATAAAAACGCTGCTGAAGGTTAATCCAATGGTTAATCCAATGTGTCTGTGTCACTTTGAAATGATTACTGATAATCCATCTTCATATTTACTAGTTTGATGCCTAGGTTTCAGTTTTCAGAGCGTAACATAGCTTTCCACTGCGTGTGCGTCACTCTAACTCCTCAATGGTAACTTTTGTGTGTATGTGGAACTTCACCTTCGATTCTATTGGCTCTAACGGTTAAAAAGATGTGTCAATCACCAAAATTGACCAATGGGTTCCAAAGAAACGGCAAATACACCCAAATGACCCCAAAAGGTTTTGTGCTAAATCCCTCTAAAAAGGTCAAATGTTACTTGTTTTGAATCAATCTTGATACAGGGTACTTATGTTATAGTTTGGATTCCTAAAGATTTTAGTCTACTATCCCATCATTCAAGGCTGGTTTTCACTATAAGTAATGTTTATTTTTGGACGGACACTATAATCTAATTTTTTTTACTTTGTTCAATCTGAATTTACTTTAAAATTAACAAATTCTATATTGATTCTGACTTTTCTACATCCA